TATTATTCTTAATTCGTGAGTGTCTGGATCAGCATGCGCACCTCGACTAATCTCACGGGACAATCGTCTGACCCTACAACATTTGGTGTCAGAAAATACATAAGAATTACTAATTCGGAAGGTAGGTGGCCATCATGAATATATTAGGAAAATTTAACCACGAAAATAAGATAAATACAAAATAAATCTTCAAGGATTTACTAAAAATTGTTTCGTATAAAGACTAATTAACGGACACAACCTTGAAAATTCGAAAACCAAACTGATAATCTGACATTTGTTTCTTCGGATGGGAGGAGTAGATATGGAAAAGTTGACATGTATAAGACTCACATACTCGGGGGAGCAACAACCCTTGTCTGCACACCTGAAATTTGTCGTCAAGTGTTAACCGATGAACCAAATTCGCACCAAGTTATCCCATGAATATAGAAACCTTATTCGGGAGAAAGTCACTTCTCCGAGTCTCGAAGGCGGAGCACCGGCTGTTCGGCGGCTGACAACGGCACCGATCAGCGGCCATAGGGCACTGGAGATGTACATCAATCATATTGAAGAGACAGTGATTAGTGGGTTGGAAGAGTGGGCGAGCATGCAGCGGCCAATGGAGCTGTTGACTGAGATAAAGGAGCTGACATTCAAAATTATTTGGAACATTTTTACGGGTTCAACTTCTATGGACTCTTCCATGAAAGCAATGGAGGCTTTGTTTTATGATATCTCACTTGGCTTCTTCTCTTTGCCCATCAACCTTCCTGGCTTCTACTTTCATAAATCCCTCAAGGTAAGCACAAATCATTTCTGTAAATTAATGTGTATACGTTATTATAAAAACAAAGCTTAAGTATACTGTGCTATTTCCAAAATCTTCGTTGTGTTGTGTCTAATAGGTTTAAACATTCGACCCAATGTGTTGGTCTAAAGTATGCTCACATGTCGCAATTCTAATAGGTCTTTATCCTACCAAACATCTAAACCCTTGCTACCAAAAATTAACTTATCATATATTCTTTGAAAGATACCGTTAATTTGTCATGGAAGCATTAAACTGACGAGAGTTAGCAACAATAACTTATTAGACGAAAGATTAAGAGTTTAGAAAACATTCGTTCATTGTTCTAGATCTAGAACAAACAAGCTTCTTTCGTTAGTTTGAGATCTAAAATAAAACCCCTCCTCATCTTATCTGTTAGAGCGATGAGTGACGAAAAACAATGAATGGTTAGTGACGGATGTTGGACAACTATGACAATGTGTCTTTTGGAGAATAAGGGAAGAAAGAAAGAGGAGGAAAGAGAAGAAGAAAAAGGAATGATAGAGAAGGGAAGCAAATGGCTACGTTATTAGTCCGATCAATAAAAATAATATAAAACTAATATTTTTTGCCATTTAATTTGAAATTGTCGGTCATCACAGTCTAATCAACGCGTTTGGAAACCGTTTAGAACAATTTCTAGGGCTGAGTGTCTCTTTTGAAACCTTAAAGATTAAATAAACACCAAACTCAAATTTCAGAGACTAGTTTTTTAAATAATGCATGTTTTACCTCTCATTATAATTTAACATTACTTTTTTGAGCCATTTATAATTTTGCGACACTAGACTATTATTATGCTATATTTTAGCAATCAACTCTTCGTGTTATTGTATCATATTAATCTCGATAAACCTATAAATATATACGCTCGAGAAAGATTGGTCAAAAAAACTTCATTCAATCATCAATAGAAAGAGGTTGGTGAAGAAAAGCAAAGGAGAAAGTTGGGAGGCAAAAGATATGATGGATTTGCTGATGGATTTGAAAGATGAAAATGGTGAAGAAGAGTTTGGATGATGAAACTTGATATTTGGTAAGTTATTTGCAGATGATATATCTTCCATTTCTCTAAATTTAAGAGCTTTTTTATAGTCTCCTATAGTCTCCTCTTTTGTTGTATGTTTTTCGTATGCCTCAAAAAAAAATCTACACAATTTTATAAATGTTTTTAAAGTGAGAATTGAGAAACGAGAGACCAGGAAAGTTAACAAACACTTATATTTCTAAAAAAATCGAGGACATTACTAGATGGACCCTAAGAAATTAATTTCTCTGTCTCTAAACAAATGTATTTTTTTTTTCTGTTTCTGTTTCTTTTTCTTGTTGCTACGTATTAAACTTTGCCTTGGTTGTATATGTGATTTTAAATGTGTGTATGCGCCACCTCGGGTATGTTTATCACATGCCCTTAAAAAAAATCTACTTATTGAATAAAACTTTTATGAAATGTAAAAGCCAGAACGGCAAGAAATTACTTTCTTGGAAATGAATAATTGAATAAAACTTATATATTAATATAATTTACCTACCTACATTTAATAATGATTTTATCTATTTATTTATTTTATATTTTTAACAATTATTTTGTGTGTGTATGGTGAACAACATTAGAGAAATAATAAAGCATATGGATTCAATGTTTTAAATGTTAATGTCAAATTTCAAGATCTTATTTTTATGAAAAGTTAATATTGATCTTGGTGAATATTTCTAAAATATTATAAAAAGAAAAAAATCTATAACAAATAAACATTTAATTCTTTTCCAATAAATATTTAAAATTTATTAAGAATTATTTTATTTACTTTGATATTTTGGTAATATTTTTTATATTTTGTCAATTTTATGCGGTATATCATAGCCATGATTTACTTCTCATATCGATTTCGAACTCATAAACATACGAAAATATCGATGAAAATTAAATGCTCTGTTTGGATTTGATATTCAAATTATGCCCATCTATTTCATTTTTTATTATTTGGATGGTCAATTTTTTTTATATTCTTTTGTTTTAGGAAGAACAAGAGGATATCATTAGAGGAAGACCCTCAACACAGAAGGGAATAAATCTGTCAGAGGTTAAACAAATGAAATTTCTTTCTCAGGTATATATTAATTGCCATTTATATGTTCTAACTCAGAAGCTTTTATTATTTAGTTTCATTTCTAGTTTGAAACTAAGCATTAAATAATATGAGTAAAAAGATTAAATGTAGAATTTTATGATTTTAAATATAGTGATGATTTGCAACTAGCTAGTTGGATCACAATTTTATTTCTGGAGAGTAAAATAAAGAGTTGGTTGATTAACATTATTTTTATTTTAAATTTTGGCTAATATTTCAAAATATTTTTACAATCTCTATAACAAAACCAAACAATACTGCCAAAGCGAACATAACTAAGCGGTAATTGACATGAATCTCCAACCACAAGGTTGTGAGTTCCATCCCCCATCCTTACATGTTGTATTCAAAACTAAATAATAATAATAATAATAGTACAGATAAAATT